GCTTCGGAGAACAATTGTTTGGATATATGAGTGCCACGTACTTCAGATATGCTAATTTCCGACAAATATGTCAAATTCATATTCCAGCACTCAAATCATGTGTGGTTTTTCTACCAAAAAAAAAAAAAAAAATCATGTGTGGTTTTCTGTCACATTATGTATCTTCGTTGGTCAATTCTCCCCTAACCTCAAAGCAAATTGGTGGAGTAGAAAGAGTAACTTCTATCCCAAACAGAGACACCTTACGGCTTTACAGCTTATACCAGTTAGCCCTAAAAATAAAAATAAAAAACCCTATTTGAAGAGAAGTTTTATTTTTTCAATTTTAGTCCTCATACTTTTCCAAAATGTTATTGGTTGTCCTTTTGCTTGCTTCCTTTTTTTCTTTTCTTTTTTTCGTTTATCGTTTGAGGAAGTTAGTGCATGCATACTCCTTCATTTCTAAAGATTCTGTTTTTGAAATTTTTTTTTCTTTTTATGGGTTCAGAACTTTTAAATAATTTATATTTATATTTTGTTTATATTAATTATTGTTAAGAAAGATATAACTTACGTAATGATGAAGAGAAGATTTTGGCAATAAAGTTGTTAATTAAACTAAAATGAAAATTATAGGGGTAAAAATGAGGAAAAAGATTTGTACACCTTGAAAATTAAAAAAAATAATAATTTAGTAGGCAACATATTCCTTGGAATAGGGAGAGTAGTATTTTGTGATTTTGAACCCATTAACTTGACTCAATAATTAAGAATTTAAAATTAAATGAATATCATCTTTACTAAGCTCCTGTTGGAATCTTTGTTGTTTATTTAGTTGATAAATTTGTTAATTGATTAATGATTTATATTATTATTTTAACTAAAGTATTGATTAATGATTTAATGAATATATTTTATTAATAAAGAATAGACGGTATCTCTTTCACATACTCCTTAAGTTTTTTTTTTTCCTATATTTGAATTTGATCAAACAAATTTAAACTTCCAAATAACTCAAAAATTCATTCACTCAATTATTGAGATTTTCTTTGAAGCACAAACCCATTTTACACTTCATGTTTAAAAGTGACAAGGTATAGACAAATATTAAAGTTAGTAACATCTTTTACAAACTAAAGAATTAAAATCTCATCTTATGAATACAAACTACCAATGGTCAAGGTCAAGTAGTAAGTGAAAGGATCTAAATAAACAAAAATTAAGTACAAAGATCATCACAGCATTTCGAAAGAGTATAAGGACCAAACTTGTGATCAATTAAAAAGGGAAAGTTATTTCGCATACAATACTTTCTCAAAATAAAGTCTGACAATTGAACTAGGCCGTCGGCCCATTATTTCGTCACATGCCTTAATGTTTGGATTTTGTTTTCGACTCTCACCAATTCCTTAAAAAATAAAAATTCATTTCTCAAAATTTCTCGTGTAAAAAAAAAAAAGTCTGATAATCCTATTTCACAGTAAATATAATGGATTTTTTTGCCAAGTAGCATAAATGCAATTATTTAATATTATATAACTATTTGAAAAGTTTTATTATAAAAAATAAATTAAATCCCTAATTTAATCTCTAAACTATTATACAGACCCATAATTTGATTCTTAAACTAAAAAAATACCTGATTTAATCTCTAAATCATTGTACGAACCCACGATTTGGTTCATACTATTTACCAATTTATCTCGAGTTGGTCCTTCCATACAAAAATAACTGACATGTCTTATTATTAACTTAACACGTGACCGTTAAGTTACTATTTTTTGTTATTAAGTCACAGTTTTTTACTGTTAAATAACGGACACATCAGTTGTTTTTTGTACGAAATGATCAACTTAAAACAAATTGATAAATAATAAGAATCAAATTGGAAGTCCGTACAATAGTTTAGGGACCAAATTAGAGGTCTATACATTATTTTAGGGACCAAATTAGAGGTTTAACCTAAAAAATATTGTATACAAATTAATTGCAATCCAATAAAAATAATTAATAAAAAACATTGGGGGTCCATACATTAGTTTTTAGATTTTTTTTTTTGTAATTTTTAAGAGACAAAACAAATAAGAAGTAACTATTTATTTTATTAAAAATATTGAAATAAATTTATAAAATAAGTTATATTATTAATATACAATTCATTTTTAAAAACTTAAATTTTTTATTTAATACATAGCTCAACTTGTTGAAAGTATGTTTTTAAAAAGCTTTAAAAAATTAATTTTTTAGGTATGAACTTATAAATTTAAACTTGAGATTATAATTAAAATTTTAAATTTTATAATATTAAATAATTAATTCTTCATGCACCCAAAAAAATTATATCGGCAAAAAAATAACTGACTTTGAAATGTTAAAAAAAGAAGAAAAAAAAAAGAAGAAGAAGAAGAAAGAAAGCAGTGATGTTGATTGGGACCACAGAACTTCAGATTTTTCGGCGACAAACTTGAGAATAATTAAAATTTTAAATTTTATAATATTAAATAATTAATTCTTCATGTACAAAAAAAATTAGGGCAAAAAAATAACTAACTTGGAAATGTTAAAAAATTATATATAAAAAAAAGGTATAAAGAAAGCATCGATGTTGATTGGGACCACAGAATTTCAGATTTTTTGAAGACGTCCAGGGAATATGAGTTCGTGAGTTTTTCCCGAGATGGAATGGCCCAAAAAAAATGACGAGGTAAAGGTGCAAACACATCCGGTGCCAAAAAAATTAAGAAGGCTTACGAAAGTTTCAACCAATTCGCACTTCTATTTTTTTAACTACTACAATTGAAATGAGTCCCATTTTACTTTTTACTAATAATTTTTGATTTGACATTTCGTAGGTTGGGGTTTATAAATATTAATTTATTGTATTGAAGCTTCTTAAATGATCTTGAAATAATTAATGTAAAGCAAACCCAAAAAGAAATAATGGGAAAGCAAGCCTGCCATTCCAACAAGATGCCGCATGTTCATAAATATTACTTACATTCTAGCGGTCAAAGAAAAACGTTTTTTTCAAATGCTTGTTCCGTACGAGCAGCATTGAATTTTGGATTAAAATTGTTTATTTTTGATAAATTTATATGTTCGAATCCCACAAATCTCTTTTCATCCCTCCCTCAATTAACTTATACATAATTATAAATTGTTAAAAAAAAAGTTTTTTCCTTTTTCCTATAAATTTTCAGAGGACATATATAGTTGACAAAAGAAATGTCTCATTTAAAAAATTATTTTTTATTATATATTTTTATAATATAAATTAAAAATATAATTATTATGTTAATTTTATATTAATTAATATTTAAAAATAAAAAATATTATTAATTTTATCATTAATATTATGTGAATTATTTTAATTATATGATTACTTAAATAAATGTATATTTTTATTCTTTTACTATTAATTAATATAAAATATGTAACAATTATATTCTTAACTTATATTTTAAAAAATATATATTAAATTTTTTTTAAATATAATTGAAAAACTATGAAAATATTTTACAAATATTTGTTGACACGATTGTATAGCTGGTAATAATTTTTATTTACTTCTTTCATTCATTCAGAGAGATATGTAAATGTTATGTATAATTGATACAAATAAAATAATGAAACAAGGATTAGTGAGAGTAAAAAATAAAACCGCATGAAGAATGATGTATTTTAAGTAGGACTCTAATTGAAACTAGATCACTATGAATTGCAAAATTACATAGAAAATTTCAACAATAATAGTATATTTAGTTTGAGGGAATGAAGGGGAGAAGAAAGGAGGGGAAGATTTTTTTTATTAATAGATTATAATATTTAAAAACATTATAATTTGATTACTAGAAAAAATTTTCTTTTTTTCATTTCCTTTAGTCCAAATATACTATAATAGTATCTTTGGATTGAACAAAAAAACAATTAACTAATCAAATTATAACAATTTTGAGAGGAGGTGAGGGAAAGATTTTTAATCAATCAAATTATAATAATTTAAAAACGTTATAATTTAATTGATTAAAAAATCTTTCCCTCCCATCCCTCTACCTAAATATATATATATATATGATAAAAAAAAATAGAGGAAAATGGTCTATAAAAGAAGGTAGCAATAAGAGTAAAACTCTAAAGCAATTAACAATACTTCATAATTGGGTTGTGTATATTTCTTGGTGTTGTAATTTGTTCCTAAGGCTGTTCTACTCCTGTCTCTACAGGTTTATGTTTAGTTTTTTCTTAATTTTATTGCATTTTCAAAATGTTTAAAAATATAATTTTGGGAATTAGCGTGTTGTATTTGTCCAGTGCGTAAAATGATTGTAATTATTTATAATATATATACATGTACTTTTCAAAAAAAACTTAACATGTGTATGATATATAATATATATACTATTTAATATTGCTCTCTCTATTTATTTTTAATAAATTTAGTTTGATTTTTAAAATTTTCTGAACTTAAATTTTAAATAAAAATACTTAACAAAAATTTCAAATAAAAAAATATTAATTATTATTTATATG